GTAAAGTCACGTAGGTAAAAAAACATTAAAAAGTAAAATAAAATAATGTTTTTTTACCTACACGTGACTTTACCGAAAAACCTAAGAATATGAATCCTTGTAGTCACGAAAGCTTCAATCTAGAAGTAGCTGTAACCTAAAGTGAATTAAAGACGGATTCCAGAAGTCGTCTCAAAGAGCTTTATTACACAACTGTGAGCGGCTCACCGGTAATGTGAAAGCGTCTGGTGAGTGCAGTGTTGTTGTTGTTGTTGCTACTCGCCTCTAAGCGCTTGTGCAGCCTGGTGAGTGCAGTGTTGTTGTTGTTGTTGCTACTCGCCTCTAAGCGCTTGTGCAGCCTGGTGAGTGCTGTTGTTGTTGTTGTTGCTACTCGCCTCTAAGCGCTGTGCAGCCTGGTGAGTGCAGTGTTGTTGTTGTTGTTGCTACTCGCCTCTAAGCGCTTGTGCAGCCTGGTGAGTGCAGTGTTGTTGTTGTTGTTGCTACTCGCCTCTAAGCGCTGGTGCTCCTGGTGAGTGCAGTGTTGTTGTTGTTGTTGTTGCTACTCGCCTCTAAGCGCTTGTGCAGCCTGGTGAGTGCAGTGTTGTTGTTGTGTTGTTGCTACTCGCCTCTAAGCGCTTGTGCAGCCTGGTGAGTGCAGTGTTGTTGTTGTTGTTGCTACTCGCCTCTAAGCGCTGTGCAGCCTGGTGAGTGCATTGTTGTTGTTGTTGTTGCTACTCGCCTCTAAGCGCTGTGCTGCCTGGTGAGTGCAGTGTTGTTGTTGTTGTTGCTACTCGCCTCTAAGCGCTGGTGCGCCTGGTGAGTGCAGTGTTGTTGTTGTTGCTACTCGCCTCTAAGCGCTTGTGCAGCCTGGTGAGTGCAGTGTTGTTGTTGTTGTTGCTACTCGCCTCTAAGCGCTGGTGCTGTCTGGTGAGTGCAGTGTTGTTGTTGTTGTTGCTACTCTCCTCTAAGCGCTTGTGCAGCCTGGTGAGTGCTGTTTGTTGTTGTTGTTGCTACTCGCCTCTAAGCGCTGGTGCAGCCTGGTGAGTGCAGTGTTGTTGTTGTTGTTGCTACTCGCCTCTAAGCGCTTGTGCAGCCTGGTGAGTGCAGTGTTGTTGTTGTTGTTGTTCTACTCGCCTCTAAGCGCTGGTGCAGCCTGGTGAGTGCAGTGTTGTTGTTGTTGTTGCTACTCGCCTCTAAGCGCTGGTGCAGCCTGGTGAGTGCAGTGTTGTTGTTGTTGTTGCTACTCGCCTCTAAGCGCTGGTGCAGCCTGGTGAGTGCAGTGTTGTTGTTGTTGTTGCTACTCGCCTCTAAGCGCTTGTGCAGCCTGGTGAGTGCTGTGTTGTTGTTGTTGTTGCTACTCGCCTCTAAGCGCTGTGCAGCCTGGTGAGTGCTGTGTTGTTGTTGTTGTTGCTACTCGCCTCTAAGCGCTGGTGCTGTGGTGAGTGCAGTGTTGTTGTTGTTGCTACTCGCCTCTAAGCGCTTGTGCTGTCTGGTGAGTGCAGTGTTGTTGTTGTTGTTGTTGCTACTCGCCTCTAAGCGCTGGTGCAGCCTGGTGAGTGCAGTGTTGTTGTTGTTGCTACTCGCCTCTAAGCGCTTGTGCTGCTGGTGAGTGCAGTGTTGTTGTTGTTGTTGTTGCTACTCGCCTCTAAGCGCTTGTGCAGCCTGGTGAGTGCAGTGTGTTGTTGTTGCTGCTACTCGCCTCTAAGCGCTTGTGCAGCCTGGTGAGTGCAGTGTTGTTGTTGTTGTCGCTACTCGCCTCTAAGCGCTTGTGCAGCCTGGTGAGTGCAGTGTTGTTGTGTGTTGTTGTTACTCGCCTCTAAGCGCTGGTGCAGCCTGGTGAGTGCAGTGTTGTTGTTGTTGTTGCTACTCGCCTCTAAGCGCTGGTGCAGCCTGGTGAGTGCAGTGTTGTTGTTGTTGTTGCTACTCGCCTCTAAGCGCTGGTGCAGCCTGGTGAGTGCAGTGTTGTTGTTGTTGTTGCTACTCGCCTCTAAGCGCTGGTGCAGCCTGGTGAGTGCAGTGTTGTTGTTGTTGTTGCTACTCGCCTCTAAGCGCTTGTGCAGCCTGGTGAGGCAGTGTTGTTGTTGTTGCTACTCGCCTCTAAGCGCTTGTGCAGCCTGGTGAGTGCAGTGTTGTTGTTGTTGTTGCTACTCGCCTCTAAGCGCTTGTGCAGCCTGGTGAGTGCAGTGTTGTGTTGTTGTTGTTGTCGCCTCTAAGCGCTGTGCAGCCTGGTGAGTGCTGTGTTGTTGTTGTTGTTGTCGCCTCTAAGCGCTTGTGTCGCGCCGTTTTAACTTCTAGGCAAAGGAAATGTGGCCAGGTCAACGCCGCTGGCGCCTAGCACCTCGAGCGCTCACGTGCGGAGCTACTTGAGTGAACTCAAAAGCAAGAGCGTGAGTCTAACCGGCGTTCCAGATAACAAAGGCTCAAGGTACGAGTGGAAATGTTGCGGTGAAACATCGCGCACTTCTACAGCCCTCACAGCTGTTACCGCGGTGGTGCTCGTACTGCGCCTCGTGTAGTTTTGTGTAAATTGGCATGCACGTAGCGAAACACGCGTACGCAAACATTTAGAACTGAAAAGTCACGTAGAAGGGAAATAATGAAGTAATAGAAATACAACTTTATTAAAAAAATTCTCTCTATGACTTTCCAAAGAACCAAGAAGATGAATCCCTGCAGTCACGAAAGAAGCTTTAAATCGAAATTTAACATGCCAATGTTGTAATAATTGTCATTTTATTGGAAACAAAACGTTTCAGATTGTGTTTGCGTCCAGCACTATAATTGTAAACCCTCAATATACCTGAAGCATCTTCTTAGTTCTTTCGGTAAAGTCACGTAGAAGGGAAGTAATAAAATAATAAAAAAAATAAAACATAATAAAATAAAATAATTCTCACGACGTTTCGGCTACAACGCAAGCAGCCGTCTTCAGGTGAAGAATGAGACAATGCCAAGCTAGGAGCTTATATATAAGCTGCGTTGGAGGTGGAGGAAAGAGCGCCTTAACAAAAGAATGTGCATATGAAGAGGAGTTTAGCATATTCATGGGAAATGCGTAGGAGGTGGGTGGGGGGGTTTCAAAGTCATATTATGCCCATGCATTATGCAGGATCAACAGCACCAAGGGGGGGTGCAGGGATTAGCAGTAACAAAGGAAAGGAATGTTAATGATATGTAGCTGCAGTTACTCAACCACCACGTAGAAAACTAAAGTATAAACTACATAAAAAACTAAAGTATAAATAGCATAGCACCATCAGTATACTTACTATACTCTACACTAAGCTGAGTTACTAACAGCAAGTAATACATTACAATTCTACGTCGTAAAAATTAATATATGCTTCCATCTAAACTTTATTCTATTGCATCTATTACCTGAAGCATGTTGTGAGCATCCTGTTGCTGTGCCTTGTGCTGAGTGCATTCATAGGTTTGCTCTATAAAGGGGGGAATCTCAGTGAACATATCCAAGTTTGCTTACGCCCCGAAGCCTCAGTGTGGACCGCATGACGACAGGTACGTTTGACAGTAAATTAAGTGTGCTGAATATTTAAAATGCAAACGGTGATTCATACATTTTAATCATGCTGAGTCATACAGCGTTAAGGTGTGTTGTGCTTGTATAGGCATGGCGAGGCTTGACATTTTAAACGCGTGTGTCTTTATTGCAGATGCAGTGGCCCTTCTGAGCTGCTGTCGCCTCAAGGCGAATTGGGTAATGTGGTTGTGTCTGTAGATGATGGCTGTGTGCTCAACTTAAAATGCTACAATCTTAATTTTGGAGCTTTCGTGACTGCAGGAGTTATTCTTTGGTTCTTTCGGTAAAGTCACGTATAACGATAAAGTAATAAATTAAATAATAGCATACTACGACGTTTCGATTGCAACACAAGCAATCATCGTCAGGTATAAAAGGAATAGCAACAAAAATCTAACCATAAAACTATAGACAGACATATAGCAGACAGATATCACCAAGATACACAGAGAGAGAACACGCATCGGTACAAAGAGAGAGATCGTCTCTGTGACGAGGCCTTAAATAGAGAGGGGGGGGGGGCGGGGCGGAGAGAGGGAGGGGGCAGAGAAAAATTAGCATGTCAATGAGTAGACGACAAAGTGGTACGGTACAAGCAAGCTTGAAAATTAGGAGAAAGACACACTCAAATTAAATAACCTAGCAAAATATCGAAATGTAATGTAATGCAACACAGAGAGTCGGTCAACACACAACGCATAGCCTGGTCGATTACGTATTTCAAAGATTGCTAATCTTCTTGGTTCTTTCGGTAAAGTCACGTAGAAGGGAAGTAATAAAATAATAAAAATAAAACATAATAAAATTATTCTCACGACGTTTCGGCCACAACGCAAGCAGCCGTCCTCAGGTGAAAACCAGGTCCGTCGAGGCGACAGAGTCTGAAAGATTGCTAAGTTAGAATTTAAGTGTGAAAATTCCAAAGAGAGGACACAGGCAGAGAGAGAAAACAAAAAACCAGAGAGAGAGAAAAAGATAAACTTAAAACTTCCCGTAGAAGTTGTTCAATTTTAATTTTGTAGCTTTCCGTGACTGCTACACTTATCATGTTGATAACTCTGTGTCGTCTGAGCTCTTAGCCTACTAAAACAATGACGACAATCATCGCGATGTTTTATGGAAGTCAGTTTGAACGTTTGTTAAAATAAGAAATAACCCCATGTGATTTGTAAAAACAAGTATAATCACTCTTTTGCCCTCACTGTTTGGGCTGCCCTGTATATTGATGCACTCTGGATAGGGATACACATTTTACACGGCGCAATGTACAGCAAGAACTTCTAGATTTGAAGCTTTCGTAACTGCAATGATTCATATTCTTAGGTTGTTTCGGTAAAGTCACGTAGGTAAAACATTAAAATTAATTAAAGATAAATAAAATATAAAAAAATTACTTTTATTAATTTAAATGTTTTACCTACGTGACTTTACCGAAAACAAACCTAAGAATACAGCAAGAAGCTTTGTAATGCCGCTCGACGAAACATGGTGGTGTGTGTGTGTGTGCAGCTGTGACTGCTGGTGACAAGAGTGTGGATGACACGTCGGGGTCCAGAGAGTTGCCAAGGGGGGTGGACAAACTCCGATCTCCCTTGAGCGTCGCTCATATTCCGGTTCCAGCATTTCAACATCAAGACGACAGTCGGTGCGTCTCTCTCTCTGATCACCGCTCTCACGCACATTCTACATGCAAACATTAGTCAGCGACATCATCCGAAATGAATTTAGATTCAAAGCTTCTTTCGTGACTGCAGCAAGGATTCATCTTCTTGTTCTTTCGGTAAAGTCATCACGTAGAAGGGAAATAATACATACAAATACTAGTATATTATTTGATTTTATAATGTATCATATAAAAATTATTTTATTATGTATATTATTTTATTATGTTTAATTTTATTATTGTATTATTTCCCTTCCACCAAGAAGATGAATCCTAATTGACAATCGCAGCGATATCAACAATTTCTGTTACTCTTAAAATGGTATTTGGATTTTGGATTTAAAAAAATACTATACGAACACCGTATCAAGCAACTTGCTTTTGTGTAACCACAGATCTCTTTCCTATCTGTAAGGTGGCCGAAAACAATGACACTTAGTGAGGAATTGTAATAATGATGTACAGATCTAAATGTGGCGGTAATGTGGTCCAGTGGTACCGCGTTCGCCACTTGTTGCAAAGATCAGTGGTTAGCATCCAGCAGACCACCCTGGTTATAACTACGGCCTGTATTAACAATAACATACTATGCGTTGTCTGCTTCACTGTGACCACGTGAAGTCATTCGAAGAGTAGGTCATTGTGTGCCAGCGGAATGGTCAAAACTTCGTGCAAATTACTAAATTTCAAAAAAGCGATCGTCACCCCTTCTGCAAAAATGTAGCAAGGCCTTCCTGAAACGGTCGATATTAAGTGGGATGTTCTGGGTAATCAAGTGTAATGTAAACAAATGAATGGGATTCTGGTTCTTTCGGTAAGTCACGTAGAGGGGAAATAATAAAATCCAGAGGTGGGACAAAGTCATTGTTATGCAAGTCCAAGTCGAGTCTGAAGTCATCAAATTCATGACTCGAGTCTGACTCGAGTCCAAGTCACATGACTCGAGTCCACACCAGCTCAGAGGTGGGACAAAGTCATTGTTATGCAAGTCCAAGTCGAGTCTGAAGTCATCAAATTCATGACTCGAGTCTGACTCGAGTCCAAGTCACATGACTCGAGTCCACACCAGCTCAGAGGTGGGACAAAGTCATTGTGCAAGTCCAAGTCGAGTCTGAAGTCATCAAATTCATGACTCGAGTCTGACTCGAGTCCAAGTCACATGACTCGAGTCCACACCAGCTCAGAGGTGGGACAAAGTCATTGTTTGCAAGTCCAAGTCGAGTCTGAAGTCATCAAATTCATGACTCGAGTCTGACTCGAGTCCAAGTCACATGACTCGAGTCCACACCAGCTCAGAGGTGGGACAAAGTCATTGTTATGCAAGTCCAAGTCGAGTCTGAAGTCATCAAATTCATGACTCGAGTCTGACTCAAGTCCAAGTCACATGACTCGAGTCCACACCTCAGAGGTGGGACAAAGTCATTGTTATGCAAGTCCAAGTGGAGTCTGAAGTCATCAAATTCATGACTCGAGTCTGACTCGAGTCCAAGTCACATGACTCGAGTCCACACCAGCTCAGAGGTGGGACAAAGTCATTGTTATGCAAGTCCAAGTCGAGTCTGAAGTCATCAAATTCATGACTCGAGTCTGACTCGAGTCCAAGTCACATGACTCGAGTCCACACCAGCTCAGAGGTGGGACAAAGTCATTGTTATGCAAGTCCAAGTGGAGTCTGAAGTCATCAAATTCATGACTCGAGTCTGACTCGAGTCCAAGTCACATGACTCGAGTCCACACCAGCTCAGAGGTGGGACAAAGTCATTGTTATGCAAGTCCAAGTCGAGTCTGAAGTCATCAAATTCATGACTCGAGTCTGACTCGAGTCCAAGTCACATGACTCGAGTCCACACCAGCTCAGAGGTGGGACAAAGTCATTGTTATGCAAGTCCAAGTGGAGTCTGAAGTCATCAAATTCATGACTCGAGTCTGACTCGAGTCCAAGTCACATGACTCGAGTCCACACCAGCTCAGAGGTGGGACAAAGTCATTGTTATGCAAGTCCAAGTCGAGTCTGAAGTCATCAAATTCATGACTCGAGTCTGACTCGAGTCCAAGTCACATGACTCGAGTCCACACCAGCTCAGAGGTGGGACAAAGTCATTGTTATGCAAGTCCAAGTCGAGTCTGAAGTCATCAAATTCATGACTCGAGTCTGACTCGAGTCCAAGTCACATGACTCGAGTCCACACCAGCTCAGAGGTGGGACAAAGTCATTGTTATGCAAGTCCAAGTCGAGTCTGAAGTCATCAAATTCATGACTCGAGTCTGACTCGAGTCCAAGTCACATGACTCGAGTCCACACCTCAGATAAAATCATATAAATATAAAACAATAAAAAATTCTCACGACGTTTCGACTGCAACACAAGCAATCATCATCAGGTGTGAAAGCCACCGCATTAATTTTTTTAATTTTTTTATTTTCTTGCCGTGGATTTCACACCTGATGATGATTGCTTGTGTTGCAGTCGAAACGTCGTGAGAAATGTTATTATTTTATATTTATATATTTTATTATCTTCCTTCTACGTGACTTTACCGACAGAGACAAGAATATGAATCCCTGCAGTCACGAAAGAAGCTTTAAATCGAAATTAATTGGTGTTAGTTAATAGTACGGAGGTAAATTTCGATTTAAAGCTTTTTTCGTGACTGCATGGATTCATCTTCTTGGTTCTTTCGGTAAAGTCACGTAGAAGGGAAGTAATAAAATAATAAAAATAAAACATAATAAAATAAAATAATATAATAAAATAATATAATAATTATTTTATTTTGTTATGTTTTATTTTTATTATTTTATTACTTCCCTTCTACGTGACTTTACCGAAAGAACCAATAAGATGAGTACGTAGGTAGTTCGCCAATACGACGACTAAATAGTGTTAATTCTAGATTTGAAGCTTTCGTGATTGCAAGGATTCATATTCTTAGGTTTTTTCGGTAAAGTCACGTAGATAAAACATTAAAATTAAGCCTCGCCTTACCATATGAATAAAAAGTGTGCTGTACTTGGCCCTTACCCCCCCCCCTCTCCAACCATTATATAAACGGAGTGGTAGCTCTTGCAATCTCTCATCTACTTGATACGGCTGTCGTGGCTGTGACGGTTCCACCTGAAGACGGAAGCTTGTGTTGCCTCCGAAACGTCGTGATTTTTATTTTATTTTACTTTCATTAATTTCAATGTTTTACCTACACGGTGACTTTACCGAAAAAACCTAAGAATATGAATACTAAATAGTGGCCACATTCCGGTTGTGCAGAGTCGACAAGAGGGATGACAGCCGTAAGAAGAGATCTTACGACGACAGAAGCTCAGGACTTGATGTGCAGTGGAATTCCGGAGCGGCGTGTTCGAGCCGCCGTTCGCCTGTGTCGCACGGGCCAGTCAACCTCTGCCGACGAATTCCGAGCGGGTAAAATTGCATCACAGACTTGACACGGAAATGCAAACGCCACATTTGATGTGCACGTTCGGTAAGGACACGATGAACCGCGATCGCACGCGCGCTCTGAGGTTCAGTTCCAAATACGGCATTGCTGATTATGATTATTTGTAGAATTGAACAACAGTTAGCTCCTGATCACTCTGTGCCTTATCTGCTGTGACTACTCTCAGCTTGAACCTCAACCGTTGATTTTACAACACATGTTGAGCGCTCGGTTTACCGGACTGTTTCATCTGATCCACGCTCTTCCACCGCTGGCCACAACAACTCTCTTCTTGTTTATTTATTATCAGAGGTCGCAACCGGGTACCCGATACCCGTACCCTACCCGATACCCGGCTACCCGTACCCAGTCGGGTACGGGTACGGGTAGGCCGTGAGTCACTGGTGAGTCACCGTTTGTCACTCATTTCCCAACGTCTTGTCTCTTCTCACAATTCAAGTTCCTAGAATCAACCCACCCGCGCCTGCAACGTGGCTTCATCCCAGAGGTCGCAATCGGGTACCTGATACCCGTACCCTACCCGTACCCAGCTGGGTACGGGTAGCCGGGTATCGGGTAGGGTACGGGTTCCGTTTACGACCCTGGTGCGGGGGGTACGGGAGGAATCAAAACCCGTTTGCGACCTCTGTTTCTTATTCCCTCGCTTGGAGAAGTCTGCTGGTGTCAACGGCTGTCGCCACGATGACTTCTTGTTTTTGACGCGATCGTGATTGGAGGATGATGTTTAAGCTCTTGCCTTTGTTTCACATCCCAGGTGGCATGCGCTGAGAAATCATGCGGCGGTTCCAAAAGTCGCATGTTCTTGTCTCCAAGCTCCACTTGGTGAGAGAAACCAGCGCTTTCATCAACGGCCCGAAACACGAGTGCAGCGTTGTCGTACTTAACTTGCTTATACGGCACCTGCCCCAGCGCTCGTGTTTTTTTCCCCCGCTCGTTGTAAAGGTCTCGGGGTTAGAATCTAGCGGACTGTCCTGGATGTGATAATTGTTTTTTTACCCTTTTTTTGGCAACAAAACTGACACTTTTTTCAGTTTTGTTGCCAGACAAAAGGTAAAAAAACAATTATCATATTTTTTCTTCTCGCAAATGAGATCGCAAAAATAGAAATGTGTCGTTAAACCCGCCACCACCCGACACGGCCAACTGGTAAGGTTGGTCACGTGAACAGAACGTGGCCAATTCGTCACCAGTGCAGCACTAGCCGTGTGTGGGAGAGAAAATCCTCAACATCTACAATCTGTGATAATTGTTTTTTATCCTTCTATCTGGCAACAAAACTGACACCTTTTACAAGGAGTCATGTTTGCATAGACCACAATACATGCAGTCATAATGCAAACAAAAAACACAACTCTGAATGTGCACTACAATCTGAGTACGACGTTTCGCCCAGTGATCACAACCATCATCATCAGGCGGACAGCAGACAGATCGGTGCATTTGCTCTGCTACACAATTGTGGGCTGAAGCATTAACTCATTGGCACGTTTCGATGTAAAGCTTTCGTGACTGCAGGGATTCATCTTCTTGGGTCTTTCGGTAAAGTCACGTAGAAGGGAAGTAATAAAATAATAAAAATAAAACATAATGAAATAATTCTCACGACGTTTCGGCCACAACGCAAGCAGCGTCCTCAGGTGGAGAACAGGTCTGTTGGGGAGACAGCGTCTGAATGCGTGGTGGTGTTATTCAGACGCTGTCTCCCCGACAGACCTGGTCTTCACCTGAGGACGGCTGCTTGCGTTGTGGCCGAAACGTCGTGAGAATTATTCTATTATGTTTTTATTATTTTATTATTTCCTTCTACGTGACTTTACCGAAAGAACCAAGAAGAGGATCCCTGCAGTCACGAAAGCTTTCAATCGAAATTTGATGTTGGGTTAACGACACATTTATGCGATCTCACCCAAACAAAAAACCTTTACTGTATTAATAGGAATTGTCGCCCCCTATGGACTGAGATAATGTTTGACCGATGCTTTCCCGGGTTACTAAGTCGAGTCTATAAGGCGAATACTATGGCCTACTGTGAGGATGATTTTAAATTGACGCACTAATTGTAATGCTGGTCCTTATTGTTCAACGCTTTAGTGTTCGACCGAAGGAAGACGCCGAGGACGCAATGAAGAACTTTCTGGATATCTTTAGAGGGATCTTCTGAGTTGGTCAATTGATTTTGAAACGTCTGATCGCGGTGTTCTAGTAAAATTGCGTCACTTATATTCTTTACGGATGATCACAACAGTAATTTCCGTGCCTGCAACACAACTTGTATATCTTCTTGGTTCTTTCGGTAAAGTCACGTAGAAGGGAAGTAGTAAAATAATAAAAATAAAACATAATAAAACAATTCTCACGACGTTTCGGCCACAACGCAAGCAGCCATCCTCAGGTGAATAAACAGGTCTGTCGGAAAGACAGCGTCGTGAGAATTATTTTATTATGTTTATTATTTTATTATTTCCCTTCTACGTGACTTTACCGAAAGAACCAAGAAGATGAATCCCTGCAGTCACGAAAGCTTTAAATCGAAATACAACTTGTATAGGTCTGGTAACGTGTTTTACAATGTAGGCTATCTAATAAAAACACTTCACGGTTGCTGTTGAATATCTAATCCTCTGATTGTGTTACCAGCTGCAGTAACATGTCCTAGAGACGTAATGTCCCACAGTCGTCAAAATAAAGTCGACGTTTCCAAATATTTTGTGCACGGAACGACGTCTCTATGAAGATTCCAAAGAACACAGGATGAGATGTTACTATCCTTTGTGCAAGCACTTCCAAGAGTTCACGAACAGCGCCTGGTGACATTTGGGGAGCGCATCATCAGTAGTGAACCTTTGGTTCCTAGGGTGTTTCGGCCTTTCACACGATACACCCTCCCCAAAGGCGGCCAGCGACAGGGCGATCAATCCTACGCTTGCGTCCCATTCCCAATTAGTCGTAGGAGTTGCCTTGTTGTTGGTAGCCAACATCCCATGGGACTATGCACGGCAGGGGCGTCCTCCTCCCTGAGTCAAGCATTGTTGACTGCATACCTCCTATGAAGGCATTGAGCCGGTGTAAGGACAAAGCAGATCCTCCTGTGATGGTGGAGGCGTGGAGGGGGCCTGTGGGCACAGCTCCTGTGTTGTCGGATCGAGTGTTCTCCAGCGACCTGGTAGGGCAAGAGAAGGCACGGCTCTATGGACCCGTTTAGGGCAAACTGAGTCGAAATGGATGTGGCGTGGCCAACATCGTTCCTGCTAAGAAATAAAACTGTGCACAAACGTAACAACAACAACAACCGCCATTCGCCACTAAGTGGCGGTGACGTCACCACGACGCTTGTGCCAGGCCATGTGCACCTTGAGGCTGCCACGTGAAGTGTCGAACGCCCGCTGGCAGGAGGTCACGGGGCAGACCCAGCAGGTGCCACGGTTCGACTGACCGATATGATCGAGATGACTGGCTGATGCACCACCTGTGCCCCTACTGTGCCAACTTGCTGTGCTTTAGCCACCCGGCGCTCCGCTCGTTGTTGTGAGCGTCGCTTCTCCGCCCTCCGTTGTTGTTGGAGGGCGACTGCCTCCAAATACACACAGACACACAACACAGACACACAGACACACCACAGACACACACAGACACACACACAGACACACACAGACACACAGACACACACAGACACACACACAGACACACACACAGACACACACACACACAGAAACACACAGACCACACACAGACACACACACACACACAGACACACAGACACACACACACAGACACACACACACATACAGACACACACAGACAGACACACAGACACACACACACCACACATACAGACAACACACAGACACACACAGACAACACACACAGACACACACAGACACACACACACACAACACACAGACACACAGACACAGACACACACAGACACACACACACACAGACACACACACACAGACACGGCAATCCACGAATAGATTCCGAATCTATAACAGTCGCGAAAAAGAAACCACAGTCTCTCAAATATTCTCCGACAAATAGACTGACGCGCCGTAGCACTCACTGCGATGTACCTTCACCCAACAATATCGCCATCAATGTCGCAACATTCAGTCGCCCATTGAGTAGCAGTGGCGGCTCCTGCGAAATCTCTCAGGGGGGGCAAATGTCTGGATGATTGATAAGGATAAGCTCCACCCAGCAATGGATAATTAACAGCTTAAGCAGGTAAAGGCAACTTCGCTTTTAATATTAATGAAAATAAAGTGACTCTTACAATACATCTTGTTTGTTTCTATTAATACAATCCACTCAGTTTCTTTTATTAAACATTCCACTAGGTGGCGACAAATAATACTGCTGACTGAAACGTGCTTACGTATGATGACGTAAGCACGTTAGGGCGAGCCCTCCCGGAAGCCGTAGAGAATGCTTTGCAGCGCCCGCCGTTCGAAAAAACACATCTTTGAATGTAAGTCTATGGGGCCACTCTGGGCGATTCTCAGCCGGAGTGAAATCGCCCAAAAAGAGGCGGTACTCCACAGAACGTGACATGACGCTGATTGGACTAATCCAGAGGCTGACAGTGACGGCTAGCGTGACTCTGTGGTTGAATGACATTGGTGGTGCGTCGCCCAATCGCCCTAATGAAGAAACCGCCCCTGTGGATTCTGCGTTGGCACGTTCGGCCCAGACGATGACGACACGGGAGGTTTGGCGATCTTGTCAAGTACCTGGTCAACCAGGGTGAGTGTCTCGCTGTGTTGGTGGCCGACTGGTTTGCGTCACGTGATGTCTCTAAGGTCTGTTGAGTGTCTCCCGTCTTCTTGTTGCATTTGCCGTTCTCTGTGTGTGGGGGGGTGGGGGGTGGGGGTGGTGGGGGAGTGGGGGAGGTGGGGGAGGGGGGGGGGAGGTGGGGGGGGGGGGGGGAGGTGGGGGGGGGTGGGGGGTGGGGGGGAGGGGAGGTGGGGGAGGTGGGGGGAGTGGGGGGGGGGAGGTGGGGGGGGGAGGTGGGGGGTGAGGGGAGGTGGGGGAGGTGGGGGGGAGGTGGGGGGAGTGAGAGAGTGGGGGGGAGTGGGGGTGGGGGGAGGTGGGAGTAGGGGGGAGTGGGTGGGGGAGGTGGGGGAAGGGGGGGGGAAGTGGGTGGGAGGGGGGGGGAGGTGGGGGGAGTGGGGGGGAGGGGAGGAGGTGGGGGGGAGGGGGGGGAGTGAGAGAGTGGGGGGAGTGGGTGGGGGAGGTGGGGGAAGGGTGGGGGGAAGTGGGTGGGAGTGGGGGGGGAAGGTGGGGGAATGGGGGAGGTGGGAGGAGGTGGGGGGGAGGGGGGGGAGGGGGAGTGGTGGTGCAGTGGTTAGCGTGCTGTGTGTGTGTGGTGTGTGGGGAGTGGTGGTGCAGTGGTTAGCGTGCTGTGTGTGTAGTGAGTGTGTGGGGAGTGGTGGTGCAGTGGTTAGCGTGCTGTGTGTGTAGTGAGTGTGTGGGGAGTGGTGGTGCAGTGGTTAGCGTGCTGTGTGTGTGTGGTGAGTGTGTGGGGAGTGGTGGTGCAGTGGTTAGCGTGCTGTGTGTGTGTGAGTGTGTGGGGAGTGGTGGTGCAGTGGTTAGCGTGCTGTGTGTGTAGTGAGTGTGTGGGGAGTGGTGGTGCAGTGGTTAGCGTGCTGTGTGTGTAGTGAGTGTGTGGGGAGTGGTGGTGCAGTGGTTAGCGTGCTGTGTGTGTAGTGAGTGTGTGGGGAGTGGTGGTGCAGTGGTTAGCGTGCTGGTGTGTGTAGTGAGTGTGGGGAGTGGTGGTGCAGTGGTTAGGTGCTGTGTGTGTAGTGAGTGTGTGGGGAGTGGTGGTGCAGTGGTTAGCGTGCTGTGTGTGGGTGAGTGTGTGGGGAGTGGTGGTGCAGTGGTTAGCGTGCTGTGTGTGTGTAGTGAGTGTGGGGAGTGGTGGTGCAGTGGTTAGCGTGCGTGTGTGTGGTGAGTGTGTGGGGAGTGGTGGTGCAGTGGTTAGCGTGCTGTGTGTGTGGTGAGTGTGTGGGGAGTGGTGCAGTGGTTAGCGTGCTGTGTGTGTGTGGTGAGTGGTGGGGAGTGGTGGTGCAGTGGTTAGCGTGCGTGTGTGTGTGTAGTGAGTGTGTGGGGAGTGGTGGTGCAGTGGTTAGCGTGCTGTGTGTGTAGTGAGTGGGTGGGAGTGGTGGTGCAGTGGTTAGCGTGCTGTGTGTGTGGTAGTGTGTGTGGGGGAGTGGTGGTGCAGTGGTTAGCGTGCTGTGTGTGTGGTGAGTGTGTGGGGAGTGGTGGTGCAGTGGTTAGCGTGCTGTGTGTGTGTAGTGAGTGTGTGGGGAGCGGTGGTGCAGTGGTTAGCGTGCTGTGTGTGGTGAGTGTGTGGGGAGTGGTGGTGCAGTGGTTAGCGTGTGTGTGTGTGTGTAGTGAGTGTGTGGGAGTGGTGGTGCAGTGGTTAGCGTGCTGTGTGTGTGGTGAGTGTGTGGGGAGTGGTGGTGCAGTGGTTAGCGTGCTGTGTGTGGTGAGTGTGTGGGGAGTGGTGGTGCAGTGGTTAGCGTGCTGTGTGTGTGTGTAGTGAGTGTGTGGGGAGTGGTGGTGCAGTGGTTAGCGTGCTGTGTGTGTGTGGTGAGTGTGTGGGGAGTGGTGGTGCAGTGGTTAGCGTGCTGTGTGTGTGGTGAGTGTGTGGGGAGTGGTGGTGCAGTGGTTAGCGTGCTGTGTGTGTGGTGAGTGTGTGGGGAGTGGTGGTGCAGTGGTTAGCGTGCTGTGTGTGTGTGGTGAGTGTGTGGGGAGTGGTGGTGCAGTGGTTAGCGTGTGTGTGTGGTGAGTGTGTGGGGAGTGGTGGTGCAGTGGTTAGCGTGCTGTGTGTGTGTGTGAGTGTGTGGGGAGGGTGGTGCAGTGGTTAGCGTGTGTGTGTAGTGAGTGTGTGGGGAGTGGTGGTGCAGTGGTTAGCGTGCTGTGTGTGTGTGAGTGTGTGGAGTGGTGGTGCAGTGGTTAGCGTGCTGGTGTGTGTAGTGAGTGTGTGGGGAGTGGTGGTGCAGTGGTTAGCGTGCTGTGTGTGTAGTGATGGTGGGGGGTGGTGGTGCAGTGGTTAGCGTGCTGTGTGGTGTGTGAGTGTGGGGAGTGGTGGTGCAGTGGTTAGCGTGCTGTGTGTGGTGAGTGTGGGGGAGTGGTGGTGCAGTGGTTAGCGTGCTGTGTGTGGTGAGTGTGTGGGGAGTGGTGGTGCAGTGGTTAGTGCTGTGTGTGGGTGTGTAGTGGTGGGGGGGTGGTGCAGTGGTTAGCGGCGTGTGTGTGTGTGG